ATTCTGATATTTAGTAATATTATGAGATGGAAGTTGTTATATCCATTAAAGTTTCTATACAAAATAAAAATATTTTGGTGTCAATATATTTTCCTTTTTTTGTTATTTTAGGATATAAAACAAATTTTTCAAACTTTAATGAACGTAGAACAAGTATTGCATTGCTTTATATTTTTTAAATGACTCATAATAATTTTAAAGAGCAAAACAATTTTTCAATTCAATATTTTTACTTTATTTAAGGCCTTTTTTTGCGCAATTTTTGGATTTTTTGTCTTTTTTAAGGGCATTTTTTGCACTTTTTAAGGGCATTAGTTGAGATTTTTTAGGTCATCAAAATCCGGGCTCTATTTATTACTCTTCGTCTTGAGTACAAAAAAAAATTTGTAATCTTTAGCTGATGAGCAATCCTCAACATCACATACCGAAGCAATTCCAGACTCTCCGATAATTTTTCCTGAATTTATGAATATCCGCTTTTTTAAACGTGTCTAATCAGTCACATAAAAGTAGTCTCACCAAATCGCTTAGCAAATACATCGCATTTGTCCAGATACTGGGGAAGATTGCGGCTTCTTTGAATGCTCAACCAATTCAATAATGCTGTTCAATAATGAAGCAAACGAGAAAAAATACTTATTGCTACATTCCATGCCATAGATTGTTTTTAAAAATCTGTATATGTATTTATTTTGAAGTAGAAATTTCAAACTCACAACGAAAAAAGGAAGAAAATCAGTCGAGGACAGAAAAAAGTTTATAATATCCAACTTCCTCTATTCTTTTGGTTCACTATATCCACACAAAAATAACATTAAACGCGTGTAGCAAGGGAGGGAAGATTCGTTCACCATAGTGGAGTTTGACTGTATATATATATTTATATTCCATTTGAACATTAAATATGTGAATTTTCTTAAACTGTAAACTTTAAACCGTGTCCCTAGCGTGGTTTGACTGAAGAACGAAGAAAGTGACAGAAAGAGGTATGTAAGGTCAATTCGATTCCTAGCTTCCTAATATCATTTCCAGAAACTCTTGGAGGGGAGCGCAAAAAGTGAATACTATCCACAAGTTCCTGAAGGATAAAGAAGCCTGGTTGGTAGGGCACTGGACCTGTGTCCAAGAGAAAGTGGGTCCCATCCCCGCCGGTCGAAGACTCCCCGTGTAGTAAATGGTGACTGATGCACGCTAAATCTGTCGAGTCACAAAATCCTCCATGTTCCCACAACAAATCATACCTCTGAGGGTACTGATCCAGGAGTTCCCTTATCTTCTGGATTGGTTTTAAATTACAAGGCTACGGAGTTGAACATTTGGAGTCGTAAACCCAAAATTGGGTCTGCTTTTCAACGATGGTTGCAAAAAAAAAATCTTTTACAAAGAGCCGCGATGGCTCAGGGGATAGAGTGCTCACGTTCCATCTAGGTGAACCGTGTTCGATTCCCAGAGATGGCCGGTCGATACGAATCCCTATCCGGCTTGCACCGACCACAGTGCTGACGTGCTCAGTGGTAGATGGGTCATGGGTTAAAGTCCCTTTGCCATCAGGCTAACCGTGGGAGGTTCTCTTAGTTTTTCTCTCCATGTAACGCAAATGCGGGTTAGTTTCATCAAGTCCTTCTCTAAGGCAAATTTATCCCAATACTTGATCCGGGAGTTCCATTGTCTTCTGGATTGGGTTCAAAATGACAAGGTTACGAAGTTGAACATTAGTAATCCTAAACCAAAAAATTAGGTCGGCTGTTCAACGACGGTTACAAAATAAAATAAAACTCTTTTACAAAGTTATTCTTGAAAATTGATTTAAAATTTACTTCTCATTGTGAATTAATCAAAGGCAGTATGATTCCCAAGGGATGCTTTATGTAAATTTGTTACATAATCTAATGCCAAAAGTTGACAGTATTCCATTTTTTATGTCAAATGGTCAGATGTCGTTACAGGCTAGAATTTATGAAATTTGGTCTCAGGGGGTATTTTCGCAAGTTCAATAAAATGTAATATAAATTGACAGTTTCTACAGAAAAAGTTTGTTTTTTAATTAAAACTGTTCCCACTTTTACGATTACAGTTAACTGTTAAGAAAATTTTAAAAAAAAATTCTCTGAGATATTGCTATAACACTTGCCAGAATGAAAATCCAACCAACTGTTCAAAAGAATTATCCTTTTTTTTGTGCTGATTTTCTAAAGTACACTATGATTAACTATATGAATGAGCATCATTTTTCTCACTGAATAACCAACTGTGCATAATTTTATTAAAATAATAAAATTTATTTAAAAAATAATAATAATATTAAAATAGTGATATAGAATAAAATTCCCAACATTGAATGTCAGAAATTTTTTTCATTAAAAAGTATACATGTTTGCTATACTACGAGGAGCACCTTTGACAGTACAATAGAAATTTTAAAACGTTTTTAATCAATTTTTTCTAAGAAAATAGTTTTACTTACACAGCTACAGATGCAGAGGTAGGCCATGGTTTTGTTTGTTGAATTTGGCAATCAGCAATAGATACTTTTATCCCTAATGGCTTTGTAACTAAAAACACATTTGTGAAATATATAAAATAAATATTATATGTCATGTTATATAATATCATAAATTAAGTGCTGCATAAGTTTTACAATAAAAAAAAATTATACAGAGTCAAACGGAAGGAAGATGTATTATTTTCTCAATTCCGCTAAAAAAAGGTAAAAAACTAAATATTACCATTGTTTCAAAATTTGTTAACAGTTGGGGCTACTGTCTGAAAAAAAAAAACAAGTTTTCAAAATAACTTTAATTTGAAGCTATAACTTGACACAGATGGAAAACGAAACATAAACAGTGTGCAATGCCTTACTTTGAATGGTCTGACATTCAGTAAAAAACTTTTTTCTATAGTTTTAGCCATAATTTTAGTTTATCTGTTGCAAATAATTTTCCAACATGACAAGAATAAATTATCTGGTTTCTTGAACTCAGCATTTCTATCACCTTCTTATTTTCTGTAATTGATCTTTTCAAATTGTCATTTATTATCTGGAACACTAGTTAAGATTAATCATAATTAACAATACTGTAATAAAGGACAATACCTAATAAAATAAGATGTATCAATAACTGCTGTTATTTGATAAAAACGATTCAGAAACAATGATCCATAATTTTTACAACTCAGCTGTACTATTTGTTGACTAATCTTGAAACTTGGTGAGAATAAATTATCCGTTTTCCTGATTTTAATTCCGCCAGCCGGACTTTTTTTAATCGATTTTTGTTTTCTGTAATTGATTTTCCAAACTGTTGTTTATTTTTGGAATCCCGTTAAATCTAATCAAATTTAACAATATTGCATAAAATGTCAGAACTTAACGAGATAAAATATAACAACAATAGTATTAATTTGATATAAACAACTAATATGCATACGTTGCACCAAAAGCTTCATCAGATCTTGCTGGGAACAAGTAGATGGAATGCATGTTCCAAGCCAAAGAGCAGCGTGTTTTATAGAAATTCCAGCGTTCATAATAACATCCTTGGCTATCTGGAAGAAAAACATCTTTAATTATCAAATTATTAGTCACTATCAATTAGAAAGAAAAAAATGAAGATCGTTAACGCACTGATCGTAACGAACAAGTAAACAAAAATCTACCAATGAATAAGCGACCTTGAGAAAATCATGTTGTAGTAGTTAAGAAAGAGTCAAACTTTCTTCGAAGCAGCATCTCTTTTTTAATGCAAAAGGCGAAAAAAAATCCTCTTTACAGAAATTATCGGATTTTTTATATGGAACACAATCTAATCTTTGACTAAAATGAAGATGTATACAAAAAAAAATAATGATAATAATAATCAAACTATGCACCACCAATGGTTTGCATACCTAGCTTCGTTTTCAAAGTTAATTTTATCTTCATTTTCGGAGTTACGAGCAAAATGTTCCAAGAAAGTATAAAACATCGAGTTGTGTCACTAAATTTGCAAGAAATACATTTTGTCTCAACTGTATATCATTCCTGTTAGTCGAAGACATGCATTTTATTGGCTAATAAAAGAAAAGTGACGTCATACTGAAAGGAAGGAAGATTTCATAAGAAAAGTGGTTCATGCTGGATAAAACACACGATTCTTGAAAAGATTATTGAACGAACTTTCATTTGCTTTACTCGGATATACCAGCCAAAAACGTATTTTTAAAAACATTTGCTGAAAATTGACAATGTATATAAGTTTAAATTTGTTTTTATTGGAATTATAATTTTCATTCTCTTTATTTAACCTTTTTCAAAGTTTTGATTACAATCTCTTAAAAAAATATTAATTTGGTTATTTTACAAGAAATTAATAAAAAAAAGGGGAAAAAAACATTACGAAATTTTATGAAGAAATAATTGAAAATATCCCTTCGCAAAATAAATCTTTATCATGCCTGAAAAGGTAGTTGTAGTAGTTCATTTACGTCACACTAGAACTGCACAATGGGCTATTGGCGACGGTCTGGGAAACATCCCTGAGGATGATCCGAAGACATACCATTACAATTTTGATCCTCTGCCCGCTTCAGTAGTCCGACCAGCTTCAAGCAAGCTTCCAGCATCGAGCACTTTACGGTAGAACACGAGGACCCATACCGCACACCCTCGGTCCCTACGCAGATTGATCCAAGTGGTTGGGAAATATGCAAAAATTAATACTTTTTGGAACAGTTTATTGAACATACAAGACTTTGTGAAAAGAAACCTTATAATTACCAAGATTTATGATTATTTTCACCTTTAAATTAGCTTTATTCCAGGATTTTTTCACGCTTAAGTCAACCTCGATTTAAGGTTTTTATATAGAAGGTTGTTTTTCAAGGTTTTGGAATAGGGTGACGTAGAATAGAGCAGATGGTCACACATCTCGTTTCATGGTTAGTAAGTTTACACGTAAACCCCATAACAAACCTTTTTAGGTCAACATTAAAAGGTTTTTGCTGGGTGAAAATAAACCTTATTTTACTCTCTGGGAAAGACTTTTTTTTTTAAATAGAAAATACATGAAATTGTTACTAATTCAATTAAAATGAAAATTAAACACTTTTAGAATCTTTAAAATCTAAGTTTAATTCTGAAAGTTATGACTTTCGGGGAAGGCCATCAGTTCAAGAGTGACTTGTTATGCTTATTTATTCTGTTAATATTCTTACTTATTTATTATTTCTTTGTTATATTAATTTAATTAATTCTCACCCATTCTGGAGGATCGCCATAAGAATCGATATACTTTTTTTCAGATGAACTGTTAGCAGAAAAAGAGCTCAGTAACGGAGATGAATATCCAACCATACAATACTGACCACTGAATGACATGGATGAATCATTGAATCGTATATTAAGGCATTCGTCGAACGAGCCTAAGTCCATAAATGTCCATGTCAAAAACCCACTTGGAAATTTGCCACTTGCATCAGCCACTGAATAATANCTCTTCACAATTTCCCCCTCCCCGTTACTATGGGGCAAATCTTATTTTTTCCCCTTCGCCTATTTATTCCAACTTCTTACTGAAACGTACATTGCAGTGGGGGAAAAAGTAAGACTAGCGGAGATCATGGCAACAGAGAGAGGAAAAGTGTGGAGAGAAGGGAAAATCCATAACCTTGAGACGTCTATTTCCCCTAGAGTATAGTCGGTGTGGTAGAGCTGATGCTAGAGTCTCAGTTCTTACAACTGGCAATTTCTAATAACAATTTAGAATATGAGAAAAGAACAATTGCTTGAAAATAATCAAACGGCTAATAATTAAAAAAAAGTAATAGTTTTCTGGAAGCGTGTTAGTAGTTTGTTTAAATTCAAACTTTCACTTGCTCTGATATACCAAACAAAAACGTATTTTTAAAAACATTTGCGGAAAATTGATAATACATATATATATATATATATATAAGTTTAAATTTGCTTTTATCGGAATTTTAATTTTCCTTTTCTTTTTTTTACCTTCTTCAAAATTTTGATTACAATCTCTTAAAAAAAATATTAATTTCGTTATTTTATAAGAAATTAATAAAAAGTGGGTAAAAAATATTACGAAATTTTATGAAGAAACATTTGAAAATATCCCTTTCCAAAATAATTCCTAATCATGAATGAAAAAAAGTAGGGAAATACACAAAAATTAAGACTTGTGGAACAGTCCATTGTTGTTGCTGTATTGTCCAGATGGTTTTTTTATAGTTTCTGAGGAATGACCGCTGAAAGAGCGATGTTGCGAAGAGAGAAGCAACAAACAACTCAGAAAGCATGTAAACCTTACGGCAACCTTGTATCGGAATCTTCATTTTATTGTCACGAAAATGTTTGTACTAAAAACCTTCTTTCAATAAAGCAAAAATATTGCAATTTCTAACCTTTCATCCTAAAAGGATTAAAAAAAAAATTTTTTTTTAATGCTTTTTTAAAAAGTATTGTAACTTAGAATAAAATGGTGACTTATGACGTATTAGCTGACGTCACACTAGAGATAGGATCAAATTGCATTGTCCGTTAAAATTTCAAGACAAGGTGGATTTTAGCTGAGCATACAAGATGATGCGATAAGAAACTTTATAATTGGGTATAATATAGCCTACGTCACAGGTTGTGTTGTTCCTACTAAATTTAACCCATGAACGGCATTTTCTGCGAGCCTAACTTCAAGCCACAAATAAACAAACGAAGTGTTCGATCGTTTAAATAGATGCTCGCCAGATTTTATTGCATTATAAAGAAAAGTTATTGAAACTAAATACAACTAAATAAACACCAACAACTAAAACAAATAACAACAACTACTAATAACAATAACTAAATAAACAACAACTAAATTCCATTCATTTAGCATTGCGTCATATGTTGTTCCTACTAAATCGAAGTAGTTGTGTTTTTTTCATATTATACCCAATTACCTAGATTTAAGATTATTTTCACCTTGAAACTATCTTTATTAAAGGATTCTTTTCACGCTTAAGTCAACCTCCATTTAAGGTTCTTATATAGGAGATTGTTTTTCAAGGTTTTGGAATAGGGTGATGTACGTAGAATAGTACGTAGAATGGTCACACATCTCGTTTCATGGTTAGTAAGTTTACACGTAAACCACACAACAAACCTTTTTAGGTCAACATTAAAAGGTTTTTGCTGGGTGAAAATAAACCTTATTTTGCTCTCTGGGAAAGACTTTTTTTTTTAAATAGAAAATACATGAAATTGTTACTAATTCAATTAAAATGAAAATTAAACACTTTTAGAATCTTTAAAATCTAAGTTTAATTCTGAAAGTTATGACTTTCGGGGAAGGCCATCAGTTCAAGAGTGACTTGTTATGCTTATTTATTCTGTTAATATTCTTACTTATTTATTATTTCTTTGTTATATTAATTTAATTAATTCTCACCCATTCTGGAGGATCGCCATAAGAATCGATATACTTTTTTTCAGATGAACTGTTAGCAGAAAAAGAGCTCAGTAACGGAGATGAATATCCAACCATACAATACTGACCACTGAATGACATGGATGAATCATTGAATCGTATATTAAGGCATTCGTCGAACGAGCCTAAGTCCATAAATGTCCATGTCAAAAACCCACTTGGAAATTTGCCACTTGCATCAGCCACTGAATAATA